ATTGTTTGGAGATTATGAAGATCTGAGAAGCTAGGCCACCAAGGATGAGGTCTCCTGACTGGTGATACTTGTGAAGTGGAGGGTGTGGATCATGGACATGACACTTCACAATGTGAGTCTTGCATGTCATTTCAGGTAGCAGTGCCAGCAGCAACACCACAAATGCCACCATCCTGAGTGTAAGGAGAAATCTCCACAAGACTTTTTATATTGTGTTTCCACTGACACCTCCCTTAATGTATTGTCCATAGTTTCAAAGGCAGGTATTGAATACTTGTCAGTCTGAAATAAACCTTAAACCTGAAGAATAAGATTTTGTTAGTCCTGAGCCATATTTTGAACATGGCACTTATATAAAATACTTCACTGTCTCCACCACTAAAAATTGTAGGTGGTTTTGCATGTGGCATAATTAATTACAGTCTTCTTTATAATAACAAAGGAAAATAATTGCAAAGTCAAGGTTGGAGTTTCCCCTGTGGAATTGCAGAAGCTTTCAAAAAATTATGTTTGTCACACCTGGACATGAGTTTTCCTTTGCTTCATTTTCTTCCTAGTAATTTTGATCTGATGTGCAGCTCAAAGCTCTGCTTTCCATTAGTTTTTTGCCCTTCCTGAATGGTCCAATTGAGTTTTGGTCTTTATTTATTTCTCTCTTTTTTACTTTACAAAGTTGTTATTGTACTTCACCAGATCTTAACCTATTATACAGTGTTTGTAAGAATGGATTCCAAATATAATTGAGTTTGTCCATGGCAAGTCTGTGTTTATATGCAAGTTGTTCACATGTTTTGAGTTTGTAAAAGTCTTCCATCCAATTGTAGAAGGGAGCCGCATTTTTATTTTTCCAATTCATCAGTATCAGTCTTTTTGCTGTGGTAAGAGCATGGAGAGTCCACTCATATTGTCCTTTTGTAAGGTTTCATATGCTGGGTATATAATTCAAAATGATATTTTGCTCTGTAAATGTAAGGTTGTTCCGTACGGTTCTGTTGATAGTTTCAGTTACCTTCTGCCAAAAATCTCTCAGTATAGGACAATGAAAAAACATATGTTTTAGAGAAGCATTATCCCTATTGCATCTTTAACAGTTAGATACCCTAGATAGCCCTTTTTTAGACAAACATAATGGGGTCCAGTATATTCTAAATGTTATTTTTTGTTGTATGAGACTCAATTTAAGGTCCTGAGATGCCCTTGTTATAGCACTTAAAACAGTTTCCCACTGTGTGGTCAAAATGGAGATCTCTAATTCTTTATTCCATTCCTCCCTCAATACCTGTATATCAAATTGGTTTGCTAGTAACAAAGATTTATATATGTTGATGGTTGGGGTTTTTTTGTTGCACAAGAATTAATCAGCTACTTCAATATCTCTGGGGTCTCAGAGGCTGTAGAAGCTGCTGATCCATAGATGGTGGTTGGCAAGTGTTTTATCTGGAGATATTGGCAGTGAGCATTTGCGTGCCAAGACCCCATGCCCCTCAATTGCCTATTGATTAATAAACACAGAGATGCGAATATTTAGGTTAATAGGCTAAAACAGGCCACAACTTTATTGGTTACAGATGGTTACAGATGGGAGTGGTTGGGCTTAGGGTGAAGCCAGGCAGTATCTTGACTCCCACCTGTCTGCAGGGAGTCCAGCTAAGGATGAGCTACCAATAGGGGGAGCCCTAATAGAGCAAGAGGAGGAGGGTTACCCTTATGCTATTCATATAATCAGTTATCAATATATTCACATATGCTTACACATAATCAGGGCCTACAGTGATTTTTATAATCCATTTGAATCAAGAAAAGCTTTTGCCTAGCCTAACTGCAAAACTGCTTGAAACCGCAAGTTCAGACACCGACCTTTTCCCCAGTACATTTTACACCCTAGAGAAAAGGGGAAGCCATAAATCAGAAGGCGCTGGTACAAATCTCCCCTTCAGATCCAGACTAAAATTGTACACGAAACAGGAAGGGCCAAACCACAAAACTCCCTACATGAGCAGATGCATAGGGGAGTTAGCACCAGGAGATCCCCTCCCCTGAAGTTTCGTTTCCCTGTTCCATCAAACTAGAGAAAAGGTCAGACTGTACGTTACTGTACAGAAAACCAGAAGTTGGGAGTGAACTCTGTGCACTGCCAGGAGCATGGCAGAAAGCGTACTTATTGGTTATTTTTTGCTGGCATTCGTGATTGTCTCATGATTGTCTCATGATCTGTGATGCGCTCAGGTATATAACTCCTGAACTTGAATTATTTGGGGTCCCAGTCTTTTGGAAAGGATTCCAACTGGGTCCATTATTGCTCAGCAATAAACCTCACCCTTTTTCTCCAATTTGCTGTGTCTGTCAATCCTTTGTCTCATTTAAGTGGGTACCTTTTAAAATTTCACTTGCTTCACTATGACTTACACCAAATAGGGACACCACAAGGGATCCCTGTTGGGGTCATGGCATGACCGTAGCCCACACCTGGATCCTGTTAACAGATTGTCCTTATAGAGGTGGGGCAGGCGGAGGATACAACCTCCCCTCCGTTAAACAAAGGCTTACTCAATGCCTAACCTTACAAAGTTGTGGTAGGCGAAAACCAAATGGCAGCTGCTAATTCGCTAAGTGGAAAAATTCCTTCCGGCCCCAACAATAAGGTGGTCAACATTTGTCCATAGCAAGATTGTGTCATACCAAAGCTTAAAAAGAGGACGGGTGGGTTGGGAAATCCAATGAGGAAGTGAGAGAAGGATCCCCCCTGGCAGTGCCACAGTTTAAAACACCCATGGCCACGCCCTTCTCCAGCATTGATTGGCCATGCAGGTGTGACGCGGCCGGGGGTTGACACGAGGGTGCAGGCCCCTGAGCCAGATCACCACAAGCGCCCTGATGCCCAGCCGTAACACCACCCACCGTGAAAGTTGAGTGGTCTTGCGTGCCAAGGGCCCATGCCCTGCAGTTCCCTATTGTCCCTAAACACACTCTGACATGAGTATTTAGGTTAATGAGCTAAAACAGACCACAACTTTATTGATTACAGATGTAAGTGGTTTGACTACTTCAATATCTCTGGGGTCTCTGAGGCTGTAAAAGCTGCTGCTCCATAGATGGTGGTTAGTAAGTGTTTTATCTGGAGATATTTAGAGAAGGAATCAGCTCAACACTATTCAACCATGCTTATATTACTATTATTCCAAAGCCCAGCAAGGAGTTTTGGTCTCTCTTTTAAGATTTTTTTTAAAAAAATGTTACTCTAAAATGTGCATATGTGTATTAAAAATGCTATTCTGTGCATGTTTTAAAAATCAAAATAATGTGGAAATAGGACAGAACGAATGCATGGAGTGTATTTCCATCCATAAAAAATGAAAAAGACCCCAGGAATACAAAACCATGGTCTTCAGCATGAAAAGAAATAGACTTTTCAAATGCTATTTAGTCGGATAATGTGGGATACTGACCTCCAGGAGGAAAGATGGCTGGCTTGTTCTCGATTGCCAACTCTTCGTTGGCAGATTATTATGAGGTGATTAATGATAGCAAAGATGTAAGTTTTGCTTATTATGGTCTTCCTTTGAAGATAGGGAGATCAAGAGATTAACCTCAAATATTCTGGGAAAAAATGCTTTTTCTTCTCAGTGGAAACAAGAAGTTTTGGGATGTGGGGAACATCTTAGTGCAAGCAACCACCACCATGCTAGACACAGCAATTATAAAACTATGAGGAAGAGCTATGAAGGAGAACAGTTTCAATAGAACCTCTCATAATAATTTGTTCTGGAAACATTCAAATATCCAGCACAAAAACTATAGCCAAACATGCAGATACTTAAATGCTTCAATAACCTCTTTTTATTAGCTGTTCCCTCTTATTCAGCTCAGGCCTCAACAAAAGAATGTAACATTTTGGGAAAAATATGCAACCCAACAAACCAGCACTGGAGGCTAAAATAGAAAAACTCTCCACAGCAACCATGTATTTTCCCTTGGAGCTCAGATAGGCTGGAATAAATGACACCCAAACACTGCAGAAGACCAACATGCTGAAAGTGATGAACTTGGCTTCATTGAAACTGTCAGGTAACTTCCTGGCCAGGAAAGCTACAGTGAAACTGATACTGGCCAGCAAGCCCATGTAGCCCAAGACACAATAAAACATAGGTACAGATCCTTCATTACATTCTAGTACAATTTCTTCAGTAAGTGATTTTGTGTCAATGTCTGGGAAAGGGGGAGTAGTAGCCAGCCACACAGTACAAATGGCTGCTTGAATAAAGGAGCAGGAGAAAACAATGGTGCTGGCCAACTTCTTCCCCACCCACTTCTGCATCCTTGATCCTGGTTTGTTGGCCATGAAAGCCAGAACCACAGTGGTGGTTTTTGCCAGCACACAAGAAACAGCCACTGAGAAGATGATGCCAAAAGCAATCTGTCGAAGACACACCACCTTCTTAGGCTGTCCAATGAATAGCAAAACGCAAAGGAAGCAGAGTAGAAGGGAGGTGAGGAGAGTGTAGGTGAGGTCCCTGTTATTTGCTTTGACAATGGGAGTGTTGTGGTGCTTCATAAATGTCCCTAGCACCAGAGCGGTGGTCAAAGCAAAGGAAAGAGCGCAACAGGCCAAGCCTATCCCCAAAGGTTCTTCATAAGACAAGAAGATAACAATCTTGTGAAGACAGAAATCCTGTTCTTTGTTTGGATAGCTTTGCTCCATGCATTTGTAGCAATCATTCATGTCTGAAATGAAAAGTTATTGACTTCCTCTCACAAAATCTGAACAGTACATATTGCAATGGAAGGAAGGATGCAAGAATTGGGGGTGAAGTGAGGCACCCATGGGAGCAGCTACCTAATATTTTGTGGCAAACTCCCTCTCAGTATTGGCTCATGTAGACCAGTCTATCATTGCCCACTCCTCCCCTGGGAAAATACTGCTAAGTCATTCATTTCTTACCTTTCTGGTCTGAAATCTTCCCTTGAGGACATGGGATGCAGTCATAGCAGCAAAATGACTTCCCCTCCTTCACTTTCTTGCTAGAGCCAGGATTGCAGCTTTCACTGCACACAGAAATAGGCCTCACCTAAGTCATGAAGGATACAGTACAAGAAATATTTTGTGCTGAATCCATAAAACAAAAAGAACAAAGTGAGAATGAGGAGCTTGGAATCCTTATACTGGGGCCTTTTTTAATGTTACTATAGTGATGTTTCCCCACATTTTTCTATACCATCATATTGGTAATGGTTGACTTGTTTCCTGTTTTCTTTTAAATTATCCACTGTTGTTATTTTTTCACAGCAAGGCAGAATTGATTGAAATTCCTCAGTCAATAATATCAAAAGGGCAGAACCTTTGGAAGATAATTTAATATAGTATTTTATATATTTCTGTGGGTTTTTTTAACCTTCTCAATTAACACACTCTCTTTTCGAGCAGTCATTCATTGTCCACTAAAAATCATTTTACATATCAGAACACAGTGTCGGTGCTCATTAAACCTGGAAGTCAATCTAAATTCCATACAATTAGATTCTACCTGGTTAAACCAGGTATGCCATGTCACAGCATCTTCATTGATGGTGAATAGTTGGTCGGAAGAAACCTGGGGATCCACTGTCCCAACCTTCATCCCCTGAAAGGATTGGTTGGAGAAAATAATCCAGTTGATAATATCAAATCCAGCAACAAGCACCCCATTCTTGTCAAAAGAAATCATGTCCCCAGCACTGTTGTTAAATGAAATGCTTCTCAGAAAATGATGCAGCTAGAATGGAAAGAAAAGGCAAGAGTTTAGAACATTCTTTAGTGGGATCTTTCAGACTAAATTCAATACCATCAGTTCAGTGATGGCATGGGTGGGTTTTGAGTGGAGGAAGACAGATCAACAAAATTGCATCAGTCTCCACAGATAAAGGCAGAAAAAACTATTTTCCATTTCAAGGTAAGAGGAAGGGAGATGTAAATGCCATGATGAAAAAGGTTCTTTGGGGTCTTTCTTAACACACAGGATAAAATACAATGTTGGATAAAATATCAACCCATTACCTGCCACAAATCTTGAGTCTGAACTATCCATCTTCCACTATCCACCATTGCCCTCTTTTTAAGTCGAGATGAAGACACAGTTTGTAGAGTATGTGCCATGACATAGACAGCATTATAGATACTGTAGCTGTGGCCAGTCATGCTCATTTCAAAATAAGTGCCAGGAAGGCTCTCCAGCTTTTCATCCCCTGTGCAAATGTTCCCTTGCACCTCGTCAACAGTGGTATTTTGGAATATACAGTCGAAGGCCTGTTCCCAGAAGTGCCTGATAAAACCATCACCTTTTGTGCTGGAAGGGCTTCTGCTCTCAAGGAAAGTTTTAAATCCTGATAGATTATTGGAGTGAAATGTGAAGGACAGAGCACCATGCAGCATTTGTGTCTCCCAAGTCCTCTGATAGACAAATGAGACAAGCTCCATCTGGGCTGTCATTATCCATACTTTGCCTTTAGGTTTTTTAGACACATCTAGATTTGACAAATATGGCAACCATCTCAAAAAAACCAAAGTATAGGATTCTCCAGAAGCCACCAATACATTTGTTTGAGAGTCCAAGATTTTATCATGTATTCTTGCCCCATCTTCCATCATGCTTCCCATTTCAGTGACGAAGGATAACATGGGTAATCTCTCTATGAAGGCAAAACAGATGCCATTCTGGGAGAACACTGGAAGCACACTTTGCAGAAATCTTTCTCCACTGTCATTATCCATCACAATTATCCCAATCCACGTCCACCAGAAATGCAGAAGCAAAGAGACAATCCCTTCGTACTGAAGGGCTTCCTCAGGGACCAGCTGGTAGAACAAAAGGCCTGAGGCTTTGTCATGCCTCAATGGAGCTGGGCCATATATTAACTAAAGAGAGATATGGAATGGAGGGGTGTGTGATGATGATAATAGTAACAACAATATTGAGAAATATGAATGTCCAAAGTTCAGCACATACACTATTCAAGCAGAAATTACAACAACCTGGCAAGCAAGTGAATGTTGTTATTTTCATGCTGCAAAGAGGGGCCTTATACTGATCAAATGGTGGCTAGCTTATGTCCAGCTTGCAGAGGGAAGCTGGGGAGAACTGGCTGAGGGAACAACTGCACTGCGGAGTCCTTGTCTCACACCTTTAACCAAAAACTTGTTTTAAACACAATACAACACAATTGTCAATATAAATTAAGTTTGTTTGCTTATTGCCCATTCATTTCTTGGTTCTATTTAAGGTGCTCAAGCTAATATTTAAAGCCATAAATGTCTTAGACCCCAAATATTATAAAGACTGCCTCCTTCCCTACAGTCCCACTTGGGTATTAAGATTGGCAGTGTGGTCCATCTTGCTTGTTCTACCATCTCAAAAACCTGGGACTGGTGGCATGGGAAAGGGCATTCTCTTTGGTAGCCCCTAAGTTGTGGGTCTCCCTCCCCATAGAGGTGCACCTGGCAAATTCAGTATGTAGTTTACACTGAGAGCTGAAGACACATCATTTTACCCTGGCTTTTGACACCTGATATCTGTATTTTCACAACCTAGCTTCTTCCCATTACATATCAGATAGGTGGCATCACTGTTATCTGTTTGGCACCTACTGGAAATTTTCCATTTTCAATCAGTCTTTTAAGTGGAGATGTTTATCCCTATCTTTATCCGTGTTGGGTTTTAAATTGTTTTTATGCATGTAATGATTTTAGTTTCCATTTTATATGTTGAACTTGTATACATGATTTGATTGTTGAATATTTTTATTGTTAGATGACTTTGAGATGTTTCATAGGAAAAGATTAATAAGTGGAAATAAATAAATAGATAGTAATAAACACAATACCTAAATAATGTATAAGTACTTTAAACAGCACACATTTCTCACCACCTAGCCTTACCTGTATTTAAGTTACTCAAGTATGGAGCTTCTTGCTCAGTTCAATGAAAATCAGGATCTACATACTTTTGAAAATGGGTCACCTTCCTACATGTGGTCCAGTCTAGAATAAGAACTTCAACATACATATATGGCTCCCCTCCTATCCTGGCACAATAATGTGTATAACAGATGGCAAAAAGGAGAATGAATTAAAACACTGAATTTCACTCATCCAAATTTAGCTAGATGCTGTAGATCTTCTGTTCTTCTGTTTAATCTGCACAAGTACCCAGAAGAATATTTTCATGAATCTCAGCTCAGCCTTTTATGGATTCCCATTTATGAACAACCAAACACAAAACGAATAAACCCTAATGGGTGTTTCTCCTGATCTGGACATGAAAGGTACAGAAAAGATCACGTCTACCTCATTACCTTCATTTTACACATTTATGTCAATAAACAATGAAATGGAATCTGGAAGGATAAAGCAGGTATGAAAGATGTTCAAAACTGCATGTTTCACACACACACTACCTGTGGAATTTTATATTGATCCAAGATTGTTGCCACATGAAGAGAGACTGGAGAGTCCAACCCACCAATAACTGCTATCAGGTCATCCTGACTGCCACATTTGTAGTTGGGGGAAAATCTGTTTAGTGTAGATATCAGGAGCATTGTGGCATGAAAGGTCCACTTTCCATTGAAATAGCTGTCATAGATGTGGAAGCCCAAGGTAACATTGGGTAAGAGGTGGAGGTTTTCATTGATCTCCTTGACTGCGAATGCCAAGGCTAGGATGTGTTGATAATGCTTCGGCACTACACTAGAACAAGAATTACATTCTGTTAAGCTTCTAAAAAATACAACTATGTTACGTGTAAGCTTCTTTAAATATTGTTATATATTTTAGTATTTACACAACTTCTTTCTTCATGGCACACTCTTCCACTGTCTCCCAAGATGGCAGGTGTCAACACAATACATTCCTTGATGTAATCTTTGGCATAACATTGTCTACACAAAGGTGCAGCTACCAGAGTGATAATCTTCAGGAAATGATATTGCCTATACCTATATGTGCAGAGATGACAGAACTAAACAGCATCAGTGTTCATCTTCAGAACTGTATGCTAGCCTTTATTGTACAGTTTTATGTTTTATAGCTGTAACCTACTTTGATGTATATTTTTATGACACAGTGGTATATAAACATTTTTATAACTAAATAAAAAAAAATTTGCACAGCCTGACTTTTCTTCAAAATGACATTTTCTTGGTAATGACCTTCAAAATTTAAAGTGTTATATAAAAACATATAATCTAAACACAATAAGAGGTGCTATTTAGTATTTAACTCTAACAAATATTCATTTATTCCAGTTATATTCTTACTCTAAATTAAATGCCTTTGTGTGATGGGATGATGAGCTGCTTGTGCGTAAAATCGTATCCCCTCAGAGTTTGTTCAAGTCCACAAACCTCTGTCTGTGACGGAGCCCCTCAGACATGGCTCCTCTAGTCACTAGCAGATTCCGACAGTGGTTGCTTTGGAATCGCTTCCAACATAAAAGCTCCTTAACGGAAACACGTCTTCTGGACTCTCTGCGTGTCAGTTTCCGGCGAGGAGTGGGTGTCCCTACAGGAGGTCCTGAAACCTCCCCACTGTTTTCGCTGGAAGTGTCTCTGAGCCATCCCTCCAGCTCACTTTCCCTCCGCTCAGCTCCTCTCCCCTACTGGTTCCCTCTTCAGCTGCTGAGTCTCTCCCAACCTGTGTGAGCCCTTTCACCTCCCTTCCGTCCGATGGCAGTTCCCTGACATCCACCTCCCCTCCAGGGCCCCCTTCACCCCCTCTCGCCCCTCCTCTACGGGCGGTGAGGAGGCAAAACCCGGAATGAACTTCCTTCATCTTCCGATGTCTCGAACACTTCTCTCCACCTGTTGCGGTTCCTGGTCTCGAAGTACTCCTCCTCCTCAGAGTCCATCTCCCTTCCCCTTCCGAGTCCGGGAAGCCTTCCAACTCCTCCTCCTCATCAGTGGTCCCAAAGTATTCCCTCCGGAACCTCTCCACAGGCTGAGGTTTCCTTGGGAACCTTTGATGGAACGTTTCTATCAATACCTCGTCATTGATATCTTCGGCCATTACCCAAGTGTTTTCTGACTCGGTTCTCCTTCCCACGCTACCAAATACTCCACCTGATTCCCCTTCCACCTGGCGTCGAGGATTTCTGCCACATGGCTGCTGCATTCTCTTTCTTCTATGACCGGTCCCCGAGTGGCCATCCCTTCTCGTCCCCTTCGTACGGTGACAGTAACGACCTGTGAAATACTGGGTGCAGTTTCATGTGGTTGGGTAACCGGAGCCTGAAAGCCACTGGGTTGACCTGTTGAATGACCTCAAAGGGACCCAACCTCCTGGGTCTTAATTTCTTACAACCTCCTTTGAACGGCAACCCTTGGGTTGACAGCCACACCCTATCTCCCACCCTTATGGTTTCACCTTCCCTTCGGTTCTTGTCTGCCTGCCTCTTGTATTCTTCCTTCGCCCTTTCTAAGTTGAGTTGGAGCTGACAATGGATTGCTTCCATTTCTTCTACAAAATGCTCGGCTGCCGGGACGCTCCATCTCTCCCCATCTCCCCTGGGAAAGCCCTGGGATGACACCCATAATTAGCCAAGAAGGGGCTCATCCCTGTGGACACATTCTCGGCATTGTTGTAGGCAAATTCCGCCAGCGCCAACTTTTCTACCCAGTCATTCTCTCTATCATTGACATAACACCTCAGGTATTGCTGGAGGACACCGTTTGCTCTTTCCGCCTGCCCGTTGGTTTCAGGGTGCCGGGCAGTCGAAAAATTGACCTCCACCTGCAGTAAGCTCATGAGCTTCCTCCAGAACCTGGAAGTAAATTGTTTTCCTCGGTCTGAGACCACCCTCAATGGCACCCCGTGCAACCTAAAAATGTGTTCTACAAATAACTTCGCTGTCTCTTCCGCCGTGACTGCATGCGAGCAAGCTACAAAGTGGCACATCTTTGTTAGTAGGTCCACCACCACCATGATGGCTGTTTTCCCTTTGGACTTCGGCAGATCAGTCATAAAATCTATCGACACTGCCTCCCAAGGTCGTTCTGGGGTTGGTAAGGGTTCTAATAGCCCCGCCGGCGCCCGCCTTTCCCCTTTGGCTCGCTGGCATTGCTCGCACCCTCTTACATACTCACGTACATCTTCCCTCACCTTGGGCCACCAAAACTCCCTGGTGACCAACCACATGGTTTTGTGTTGTCCAAAATGCCCCGCCGTAGGGCTGTCGTGCAACTGCTTGAGTACCCTCCCCCTTAAGTCTCCTTCAGGGATATACAGTGCCCCTTTGTAATACAAAGCTCCATTTCTTTCCTCGAAACCCCTGGTTCCTCTCCCTCACCCCTAAGACCTCTGAGCTTATTCTGGGCGTATTCATCATTCTCTGTTTCCTCTACCAGTTCTCTTTGTCCCACCAATGCCGCCCCACACACCCAGCGGTCCTCTGGAATGACATGTCTCTCTTCGGGTGCTCCCTCCCCCTCCAAATATTCAGGTTTGCGTGAGAGAGCGTCCGCCCTAATGTTCTCTGGGCCTGGCACGTAACAAATCTCAAAGTTAAATTTGGAGAACTCCTGGGCCCATCTCACTTGCCGTTGGTTGAGCACTCGTGCCGTCCTCCAATACTCTAGGTTCTTGTGGTCAGTGCACACTTGCACCTTATGTTGTGCGCCAATTAGCAGGTGCCTCCATCTCCGGAACGCCTCATGAATGGCTAGTAGTTCTCGGTCATACACCGTGTAGTTCCTCTCGGATTTGTTCAGCTTTCGCGAAAAAAGGCACACGGTCTCCACTCTGACTCCTCCTTCCCTGGCTGCAGAAGCACCGCCCCAATCGCTCTGTCTGATGCGTCAGTTTCCACTCTCATCGGTTTTGTAAATCCACATGCAGGAGTTGTTGTTCCGAGGCGAAGGCCCTTTTTAGTTCCTCAAATGCTCGCTCCGCCTCCTCAGTCCAAACGAACTTCTTCTTACTGCTGAGACAGTCCGTAATGGGCGCCGTCAGGTGGGCAAAGTTTCGGATGAACTTACGATAGAAGTTCCCAAATCCTAGGAACCTCTGCACATCCTTCCTTGTTTTGGGTGTTTTCCATTCCAGCACCGCCTGGACCTTGCCGGGATCCATGGCCAATCCCTTGTCTGACAGGCGATACCCCAGGAATTCCACCTCCTTGGTATGAAACTGACACTTCTCCAGTTTCACCCACAGCTGGTTGGCTTGCAGCCTGCTCAACACTTCTCTGACGTCTCTCACATGCTGCTCCTCATTCTCAGAATACACCAACACGTCGTCTAAAAAGGCCACACAATTCTTGTAAAGCAAAGGCCCCAGGACGTGGTTCATAAACGATTGAAAGGTTGCGGAGCCTGCTTGTAGGCCGAAGGGCATAACCAAATATTCAAATGCCCCTAAAGGGGTGAACATGGTGGTTTTCCATTCATCCCCTTCCTTATTCGTACCAGGTTGTACGCCCCCCTTAGGTCCAGCTTTGTGAAAATCTTTCCCTTCCGCACCCTTGTCAAAATGTCGTCAATCCTGGGCATAGGGAAGGCCACTGGTTCTGACACTGCATTTAAGGCCCTGAAGTCACACACCAGCCTCGGCTTGTTCGTGTTTTTTTATCCACAAAAACACTGGGCTGCCCCCACCGCCCTGGACTCTCTGATGAACCCTCTCTTCAGGTTCTTGTCAATGAACTCTCTTAGCTCCTGCATCTCTCTGTCTGACATGGCGTACAGCTTGCCTACAGGGAGCTGTGCCCCAGGGAGTAAATTGATTTGACAGTCAAAGGGTCTATGCGGGGTAGTTGGTCAGCTTCCTTTCGCTGAAGACGTCACGGAGATCTGCATATTGTCGTGGTACCTTCACGTTCTCCGTTACTTCAGTCCCTGCTAGGGTGGCTTGGGCCCCTGCCAAACCCTTTCCCTCTTTGCAGTGTTCTAAGCAATGTGCTGAACCAAAAGAAACCACTCTCTGATGCCAGCCCACCAGCGGATCATGTAACGCTAGCCAGCTCATCCCCAATATAATGGGAGCTCCTCCCAAGGTGGCCACATTAAAAGCTATCAGTTCGGTGTGCCTTGCTACCTTCATTATCATTGGGACGGTCTGCAAGCTGACTTCTCCTCCCAACAGCTCCCTGCCATCGATCGTGGTCACCTGCAGGGGTTGCTTAAAGGGATCATCTGTATCTGGTGTTCAGCTGCAAACTCTTTGCTCATGAAATTGCAGGAGCTGCCTGAGTCCAACAGCGCCTTTATCTTTAGAGGGTGTCCGTTTGGCAGCTCTAGCGTCACTTCTATCACTAGGGCGGGTTTAGGAGGTTCTGGCGTGGGCACTCTCACTGCTCTTTGGCCTGGCTGCTGTGCCCTGACAGTGGCAGCCAGGCGTTGGCTGTTACTTGCTCCGGTATTTCTTCCTCTCTTCCCTCCACAGCTCCTACCATCCCTTGCCATTCCTTCCTCTGGGGGCAGACTCTGGCAAAGTGACCTGGCTGTTGGCAGAGATAGCATTTCCGGGCGCCTTTTCCTCCTTCTTTCCCCCTCACTGGGCTTTGAAACTGCGCGCGCGCGCTGTTCCGATTTCCATCGGCTCTGCCGGCGGGAAAGTTGGCTCTGGAATGTCTGGAATGCGGAACTCCTTCCAACGTTCCCCTCCCTTCCCGCCTCTCCAATGCTCTCGCCTCCTGGCGCGCTCCTATGGTCAGCGCTGATTTGGTCAGCTGGTCCATAGACTCCGCCCTGGGCGCCCGGGAAAGTTCGTCTTTCACAGCCGAAGAAAGCCCTTCTTCAAAGAGCATTTGAATGGGTTCCGCCGATAAGTCCCACCCCAATCTGTGAACCAGCATGGTGAACTCAGTCCAGTACTCACGGACAGATCGGCTCCCCTGTTTGCAAGCCATTAACTGTCTGCGCACCACTCCCTGTTCAATATCGCTGGAAAACATCAGATCCATGGCGCGAAAGAACTTCATCGTGTCCTTTAGGACGTCACTATTCGCTGCCATCAGGGGTCTAACCCAGTCTCTCGCCCTTTTCAAGATGCTCAATCACGAAAGCCACTCGTGATTCCTCGTCAGGGAATTCATCAAACTGCAGATTGAGGGCATATTGCATCTCTGTCCGAAAGCCATGATAGTCTTTGGGCTCCCCCCCAAACTTCTGCACCAATCCTGGTACCTTTCTGGCGAGCTGGGTGGCTTTCCCTTTTGTCTGCATCCTGAGCCCTCCTCTCCTCAAGCCTCGCCGTCTGCATCGCTAGCTGGACCTCCAACACCCGGTACCTTTCTTCCAGGCTTGGACCCGCTCCAGCTCCTGCTTCTCCGGTTCCGGCTGGGTTGCTCATGATGCCTTCTCCTGCACAAGCTGCTTTCAAGGACTGTCGGAATGCTGTGATGGGATGATGAGCTGCTTGTGCGTAAAATCGTATCCCCTCAGAGTTTGTTCAAGTCCACAAACCTCTGTCTGTGACGGAGCCCTCAGACATGGCTCCTCTAGTCACTAGCAGATTCCGACAGTGGTTGCTTGGAATCGCTTCCAACATAAAAGCTCCTTAACGGAAACACGTCTTCTGGACTCTCTGCGTGTCAGTTTCCGGCGAGGAGTGGGTGTCCCTACAGGAGGTCCTGAAACCTCCCCACTGTTTTCGCTGGAAGTGTCTCTGAGCCATCCCTCCAGCTCACTTTCCCTCCGCTCAGCTCCTCTCCCCCTACTGGTTCCCTCTTCAGCTGCTGAGTCTCTCCCAACCTGTGTGAGCCCTTTCACCTCCCTTCCGTCCGATGGCAGTTCCCTGACACTTTGGTACAGAGTGCCTTATGAAGTTTTTCTGAACATATCAGAGATGTAGAAAACAATGAAATCACACCAAACAAGGAGAAAATGAGCTTTTTGTTTGTTTGCTTGCTTATCATCAGAAATCAGATTTGAAGGAAGATAGTGGTGAGTCTCAGGTGAACAATTTCTACATAATACTTTCTTAGTCACATCTGGAAAAAAGCAACTCTTCCTTGATATTTTGAAAGACGGCAATTAGGGTACCAAAATTATGAATGAATAAATAAAGATGAGAAAAGTAACACCTGCTGTATTTTTAAAGAAGGAGGGGAGCAGAAATTGGGCTTTAACCCGAGATTTTGCCATCTGTGAGATGGAATCAGAAACATTCATGAAGTATAGGGTGATCAATGACTTTTTACAATGATAAATATATAACCAGTAGCTGGGAATCATGAGCAGGATGTTCCAAAAGTATAGCAGGTTAAGAAAAGCATTTCTGAATCAGACCCCAGGTCTATCTTTTCCAGTACCCTGTGCTCACAGGGGCCAGACTGATTCCTACTGTTCTATTGTGCTCATCTCCTACTTGTGGTCTTCCAATTGAAATGGTTGTATAATTGGGAATTAGCTTTTAAATAATATACCAGGTGTGCAAGACTATCAGACTCACCTGCATAGATAGCAGGAGACAGAGATAAAAGCTTCGTTGGTTACAGGTGCCTGGTTGAAATAAGACACAAAACATCCCTAGCATATCTAATTAGGTCCATAGAGCGTGTGCTTCTTTTCTCTAGAAAACAAGGTCCCTGCCCCTGGAACAACCTTCCTCAGACCTGAAGCTTTTTCCACAGTCCTAACCCATAAGTCATCAAAATGAAATGCAGATCTAAGACTGATTGAATAAATGAAGGGAAATTCCTTACATAAGTTCTTCAACCAATGCTGGTGGGGGTTCTTCAGTGAAGGATAATTCTTTGGAGACGATGAAATTGTGAGAAGCTATGCCACCAAGAATGAGCTCCCCTGACTGGTAATACTTGTGAAGTGGAGGGTGTGGATCATGGACATGACACTTCACAATGTGAGCCTTGCATATGTGAGGAAGCCGTGCCAGCAGCAACATCACAAAGGTCACCATCCTGATTGTAACAACAAACCTTCACTAGACTTACTTTATCGTGTTTCCACTGACAACTCCATCATTTCAATGGCTGATCTGAATACTCGTCTGTCTGCAGTACACCTGAAACCTGAAGAATAAATACTGTTATTCCTGAACAGGACTTTTTTTCAGCCAGAACTCACCATGTGGGCGCTGTTGCCATTATAAAAGAACAAGGGAGGTGTTCAGGGTAAGTTCCAGCACCTCTTTTTTAGAAAAATAGCACTGGTCCCGAGACATATTTTTTAACATGACACATATATAACATCCTTTGCAGACTCCAGCACTAATAATTGCAAGTGGTTTAACATGTGTCAGAGTTAATTACAGTCTACTTTATAAGAACAAAGGAAAATAATTAAAAAGTCATGGTTGAAGTTTTCCCTGTGGAATTACAGAAGATTTCAGAAAATCATGTTTGTCACACCTGGGCAGAAGTTTTCCTTTGTTCACTTTTCTGCCAAGGAATTGTGATCTTATGAGCAGCTGACAGGATAGTTTTCCATTAGGGTTTGTTTTTTGTTTACTTCCTGAATGGCCTAATGAATTTATCTGCCTTTTAGAAACCTTTCAAAATACTTTAAAGAATGGGTATTTGGACACACACACACACACACACGTAAATGCTATTTTTGTCTATTTTCCTATCATTTTAATGCAGAAACAAGAGAGAACAGACCCATGGACTGTATGTCATCCATAAAAAATGAAATGGGCCCCAGAAATACAGAACAATGATCTACAGCAGCAAAAGAAAGTGTGTGTGTGTGTGTGTGTGTGTGTGTGTGTGTGTGTCTATCTATATCATCTATATCTATATCTATATCTATATCTATATCTATATCTATATCTATCTCACTTAGTTGGATAATGTGGGATACTATGTGTACCAGCAGGCAGCAAGAAGGGATGGACAAATATATTGGCAAGGAGGGGAGGGCAAGAATAAAGGGAACATCAAAATGAGCTAGTTGAGAAAAGAGACAAAAACACATGGTGTGAGACCTGACTGTGAGGGTAGGGGTGGAAGAGAAATTTTAATATTAGCCTACCTAATTTGCAGTTCTCAAAGCAATATGTGAACAAAAATTTTGTAATCCTTGGAAATTTTCATGAAATATAGTTCTCCAACAAAATAACGTTTGCATATATTAAACAGAAGTGTGTATTAAAACGCATTTATTCATGAAAAATGCACACAGAAATACATTGTATTAGGGAACATGGGAAGCTGTCTTATGCCAAGCGCTATATTTACCATATTGTAGGTTATGCTTTTTTTCTAGTTTTTGTTCCTGTAGCTTGCTATTTCTACTGCATTATTTTGGATCCCAGGCATTTTGTTGTGTGCATGCAACTTAAGACCCTGATTCTGAACTAAACTTTAGAAATCAAAATATTTGGTCCTGACACTGAGATACTGTGGTCCTCACATTGGGAAAGCACAACTAATTCTATTTAGAATTCAGGATTCATCTGAAGTGTTTGATGGTGCTACATTGGCAGGTATGTGTGAGAAGTTATCTGGTAGCAAAGGTTCAGTGAGGACAATTAATCACTTTAACGGGGAATTGTGTAGTCTCTAGTCTTGTATTCAACGCTGTGGGACTCATTGGCAGTGTGGGTAGCACCTTTGAGGTCAACCCCTTGAGTTGTGAGGCCCTGGGAAGGGGTGAAGCAGGAAGGCCTTAATCCTCACCTGAGAGGTAGAGACTTAAGGCAATGGGTAGATGAAACACAACCCAGCACCCTTGTCAAACTGGGTACATCCACAATTTGTTACAAGTAGGGTTTTTTGTTGTTGTTGTTTTTAAAAATAAAGTTTATTGAAAATATTAAAATGATTACCAAGCAAAAAGTGTTGTCTTCCAAGACAAATACATGTGCAGATGATAAGTCTTCTATGCAATCATCCAAATGGCATCAAAACAAACTGGGAAAATCATTTGCATTACAAATTTAGCTCATAAGTAGTTAACATTCCACACAATTGTCATCTACTGCAGACCTGTTAACTTCAATCAAACAAAAGTAGGCCAGTTTGAGCAAACATGTGCCTTGCCTATTTCCTTGTGTGATCATGATATGTTTTATGGTTATAATCCAGAGGGTGATGTTCTGCCATTCATGTATAAACGAACTTCCAAGAGGAGTTGTATATCCGCAGCTAAACCAAATTATAAACATATGAACGGAAGAGTAGCTAAAGGGGAACCAGAGGGCAAAATGAGATACGTTGCAAGTCAGTTTGCTTTTAAGCAAAATTTTGTTCCATTCCTCTCCACTACAGATGATTCTCTTTTCTTCTAACTATAAGGAAGATCAATGTAGGAGCTGCAAGGGAAGCTCACATAACAGTTCTGTGGTTTTTTTACATTCAAATATCCAGCACACAGACTATAGCAAAACACGCAGGTAGATAAATGTTTCAGTAACCACTTCTTGTTAGCTGTTCCCTCTTGTTCAGCTCAGGCCTCAACAAAAGAATGTAACATTTTGGGGAAAATATGCAACCCAACAAACCAGCACTGGAGGCTAAAATAGAAAAACTCTCCACAGCAACCATGTATTTTCCCTTGGAGCTCAGATAGGCTGGAATAAATGACACCCAAACACTGCAGAAGACCAACATGCTGAAAGTGATGAACTTGGCTTCATTGAAACTGTCAGGTAACTTCCTGGCCAGGAAAGCTACAGTGAAACTGATAGTGGCCAGCAAGCCCATGTAGCCCAAGACACAATAAAACATAGGTACAGATCCTTCGTTACATTCTAGTACAATTTCTTCAGGAAGTGATTTTGTGTCAATGTCTGGGAAAGGGGGAGTAGTAGCCAGCCACACAGTACAAATGGCTGCTTGAATAAAGGAGCAGGAGAAAACAATGGTGCTGGCCAACTTCTTCCCCACCCACTTCTGCATCCTTGATCCTGGTTTGTTGGCCATGAAAGCCAGAACCACAGTGATGGTTTTTGCCAGCACACAAGAAACAGCCACTGAGAAGATGATGCCCAAAGCAATCTGTCGAAGACACACCACCTTCTTAGGCTGTCCAATGAATAGCAAAACGCAAAGGAAGCAGAGTAGAAGGGAGGTGAGGAGAGTGTAGGTGAGGTCCCTGTTATTTGCTTTGACAATGGGAGTGTTGTGGTGCTTCATAAATGTCCCTAGCACCAGAGCGGTGGTCAAAGCAAAGGAAAGAGCGCAACAGGCCAAGCCTATCCCCAAAGGTTCTTCATAAGACAAGAAGATGACAATCTTGTGAAGACAGAAATCCTGTTCTTTGTTTGGATAGCTTTGCTCCATGCATTTGTAGCAATCATTCATGTCTGAAATGAAAAGTTATTGACTTCCTCTCACAAAATCTGAACAGTACATATTGGCGAGGAAGAAAGGATGCAAGAATTGGGGGTGAAGTGAGGCACCCATAGGAGCAGCTACCTAATATTTTGTGGCAAACTCCCTCTCAGTATTGGCTCATGTAGACCAGTGGGTCATTGCCCACTCCTCCCCTGGGAAAATACTACTGAGTCTTCTTTTTTAGGGGAGCTAAGGGTGTGGCTATGGTGCCTCCATTTTGGTTGGGAGTGGTACTGTACCACAAGCAATATAAACAGTATATTCAAGAACAATTCTTTGAAGCAATATAAATGATAGTTCTATATACCGGTAATTCATTTCTTACCTTTCTGGTCTGAAATCTTCCCTTGAGGACATGGGATGCAATCATAGCAGCAAAATGACTCCCCCTCCTTCACTTTCTTGCTAGAGCCAGGACTGCAGCTTTCACTGCACACAGAAATGGGCCTTACCTAAGACATGAAGTATACAGTATAGCAATAATCAGTACAATAATAAATATTTTGTGCTGAATCCATAAAACAAAAAGAACAGAGTGAGAATGAGGAGATTGGAATCCTTATACTGGGGCCTTTTAAAATGTTACTGTAGTGATGTTTTCCCACGTTTTTCTACATCATCATGTTGGCAATGTTTGCCTTGTTTCCTGTCTACCGTAAATTATGAACTGTTGTTATTTTCTGATAGGAAGGCAGAAGGTAACCAGGGTGTCTCTAACCTGATTGTCACTTAAGTGGGAAAGGAAAATGCAAGTTAGATGGGTAAAATACATGTGATTGGTTGAATCCATTTATTTCTGGGTCTTTCCAATGTTGCCACAGTAGTATCAGGTGGGGCTATAGAAAAATCCACCTGCAACCCATTCTGCAATAGTACTATATGAATGGGTTCAATATAGAGAACTAACTATTGCATTCAGATTAAGGAGATGACACCGCATTATACATATATCTGCAATATAGTGTAAAAATTGTGTGTTTCTGAAGAAACATATACTTTCTTTCTTTTGAGAAAGTTCTTATATAGCATGCTAAGAATTGATTAAAATTCCTCAGTCAATAATATCAAGAGGAAAGTACCTTTGGAAGATAATTTAATATGGCAATTTTATATATTCCTGTGGGGTTTTTTAACCTTCTCAATTAACACACTCTATTTTAGAGCAGTCATTCATTGTCCACTAAAAATCATTTTACATATCAGAACACAGTGTCAGTGCTCATTTGAACCTGGAAGTCAATCCAAATTGCATACAATTAGATTCTACCTGGTTAAACCAGGTATGCCATGTCACAGCATCTTCATTGATGGTGAATAGTTGGTCAGAAGAACCCTGGGGATCCACTGTCCCAACCTTCATCCCCTGTAAGGATTGGTTGGAGAAAATAATCCAGTTGATAATATCAAATCCAGCAACAAGCACCCCATTATTGTCAAAAGAAATCATGTCCCCAGCACTGTTGTTAAATGAAATGCTTCTCAGAA